TTTAATTATTTCTGATAGAATGGAGAAATAGAATCTATTCCCTGATCTCCTTCTCACCAGTTCTTCTTGACCTATGTTATCACTAATAACAAAGCCGATGTACTGGAAACTTTTGACTATTTCAAAACTGTAATCTTGGTAAATATTGCCCCTTCCTGATTCAGTCCTGTTCTTTTCTATCAATGATTGCTTATAGAGGTATATTAAAAGAAAAATTAATGGGTTCTCTTGTCCTAAGCCTCTTTCCACTGCAAAAGGCTCTGATATACCACAAAACTTTACATGACAGCTAGTACTCACCATTGTGCATTTTACTAATCTAGTTAGTTTATTTGGCAGTCCCAATCAATTGTAATGTACACCTTTATTGGAAGTGAGTAAAAAGGTTTTAATAAATTAATGTTGAACAATTAAAAGGCAAGCTAATCTAGTTCTACTAGTGCAGGGAAAAGAAAATGGCTGCTCTGTAGTTTTCCAAGAAGGAAAATCCCAAAGAAGGAGAGGGACAAATGTTGTGCAGCTGTAGTGAAGAGAGTATAGTAGAAGGGATCTTGTTCCAGTTGGTAAAACCCAGTAATAATATTACCATTTTGGAAGTTGTGTTTGGCAGAACATTGGAAAGAATTTGAAGACAAATGAATTTAGTGCAGCAAAGGAAGAAACAGTGTATATAGAAAAAAGGTTAGCTTGCCAATCCATATTTGACTTTATTTTAAAATCAAACAGTGTTTATTATAGTCAATGTTGGTTTGTCTGAGTATTTTGACCTGATTGTCAGTAACACACACCTGAGGTAAATAAGTATATTAATACTCTTATAATTTTGTTTATTATTCAGTAACCTCGTATTTATTTGGAAGTATCCCAATGGTATAAATTGAGCTTACACAAGGTCATATTATTATTTTTAAATTATAAGAGAGATGTTACACAATGTATGGCCAATATTGGTTAGATCCTAACAATTTTGTCATAAGCGGCCCTGAAATCAACTAACAACACCTAAATAGTCACCTTATATTCATTTATCTTCTAAGATATTTGCTATAGGGTGGATTCGGTCAATAGTAGACCTATAGGGCCAGAAACTACCTTGATATTCACTCAATTATTGTTTGAAACATATTTATATAGAAGAATATGGAGAAAATTTTATATCTCTGTTAAACAAACTAACAACTCTGCCAGTGGATGTAGAGTTGCCATGTGAAACAGTGCCAGTCCCAATTCTGGATAAAGGAGGAGGGTTGAGCATGAAAGATGGGTGACCTCACCTCTAAAAAAAAAAGTTAGTCCAGAAATTGCAGGAATGGAGTTTTCTTATACAAGAATGGTGAAGATCAAAAACATAGTTATAGTTCCCAGAGTGACCCATTAGGATATGAGGGGAGGAGAGGGGTACGTCGCAACCAACACCAGATCTTGAAAGATACTCAAGGAGAGAGAGAGAGAGTGAGAGAGAGGAAAATTTTTTTTTCTACTCCTAAGTAACGCCTGCTTGATCAGCCATGCGTACATTTGCAATCCAATATAATTTTGCTCTCCTAGCATAAGGACTGTCCACTTCACTATGGAACATCTTATGTCCTGTAGTGCAGGGTATGTGTCAAGATTTTCTCCTGTCATAATATCCAAGGAACACAGAGGGCATGTCGGGCTATCTTTTATACCGATGCGGTGGAGGTGCTTTCCAGGAAATCATGCCCTGTGAGCATTCTAAAGCATGCCATGGCTTGCCCTCTAGGGAGGTCTCTCAGGATCCTGCCACTTTCTTTCAGCATTCCACTACATTGCTTCCCTTCAATTGTTTGCGCATATTTCTCCTTCAGTGAACTTTAGAGGATCTGTTTTATTATTCTTTTTGTTGAATCCATGCCCAGAGGAATATCTGGTTGGACCATTCCAGAACCTATTCTGGGCAGTTTGTCAGCTTCATCATTTCCGTGGATCCAGCAATGGCCTGGTATCCACTGAAAAGCGACTTCTGTCCCATTTTCCTTTAATCGATCCAAATACAGATGGCATTTAAGGACATTTGGATTCATATTATATCCATTTAGGAGAGACAAAATGGCTGCCTGTGAGTCAACAAAGAAAGCAACTTTCTTGTCTTTCCATTCAACCAATCTCTCAAGGCCTAAGAGAATCATTCTATTAAGAGAGGAAAATAAGGAACAGTACAAGATGTGGACTAAGAATCGGGACTTGGAATGTCCTAACCATATTGCAGCCAGCTGTGAGTAGAGCTCTGGACCGACCAATGTAAAATAAATATAGTGGCTCTACAGGAGATCCGATGGGAAGATATTGATATTGTATCCCTTGACAAGTACATACTAATAAATATTGGTTCCAAGGGAAACCAGTTTCATGATCAGGAAAAGTATCCAACATGCGTTATTTGGATACAGCTGCATTAATGATAGGATCTGCAGAATTCAAATGAAGTGTAAATTCTGCAATATATTACTGATTAACGTGCATGTCTCTTGTGAAAATGCAGAGGAACTGGACAAGAAAACGTTCTATACCAGTCTGGCTAAGAGATACGATCAGATACCACAGTATGACACTAAGATTATACTTGGTGATTTCAATGCTCAATTAGGCAAGATAGAGATATACAGACCCATAATCGAGCAACATAGCAAGCATGAAGTAACAATTAATAATGGCTTTGACAGTAGAATTTGCTATGTTTAAAAGAATGACGTTCATGACTACTATGTTTCCTCACAAAAAGATTTATAAATAAACATTGATAAGTCCAGGAGACCGAACTAGAAGCCAGATAGACCACATTAATAGACACAAGACACTTTTCTCACATCTCAGGTGCACATAGCTAGAGGGGAGGAGACTGCGACTCTAACCATTTCCTGATATTGGTGAAATATAAACAGTGAACATTGGAGGGAAAAATATATGGTTATGAAATCAACAAGTTGATGGAGGAACCCAGAAGACAAATGTATAAAGAGACTCCAGCGACAGTGGTAGGAATGAACAGGAGACGAGATGAATGCAGAGGAAAAGTGAGGAAGATTAAGAAAATCTATCAGAAAGGTGGCAAATGAGATATTGGGAGGAAAAAAGGCTATGAAAAGGAATCCTTGGTTTGATGGAAAGTGCGTGAGAATCTTACAAGTAAGGAATAAAACTTGGATGAAGATGCTCCAAAACATGCAGTACATGTGAAGCACGCTCTGAAAAAAAGAAGAAAGGCTAAAAGAATCATACTTGATAAGAAAAGAGCACATGAAACAAGGAAACTCAAACAGATACAAGTAGGTTCAAGCAGAAGAAAGTTGGAAGTTCTAAAAGGGCATTAAGTGGTTAAGACGGGACTTAAGTAAAACAGACAGAATTCTGTCTGGACCAAAACGGAAACCGTCTCACTGATAGTGACCAAATCAAGGGAAGTGGGCTCAACACTTTAAAGAAATCCTGAATGTAGAAAGTAACATGCACACTATCCAGATATATCAATCGGCTATTGAGAATATTGATAAGAAGAAACAAACAGATAAAGAGGAAACTGTGGAAATAATTACTTCCTTAAAAACAATAAGTCTCCAGGATCTAATGAAATCTCGCCAGAATTATAATATTACTATAAAATGTGCAGAAGACACCTAGAATGAGATGTACAAGGTAATAAGGGAGGTTAGGTCAAAAGAAAAACTGACAAATGAATGGGGGGGGAGGATGTCCACTGTAGTCCCTATATATAAAAGGGGAGATAAACTCAAATGTGAGAACTTTAGGGAAATGACGTTCCTACCCACAGTCTATCCCACAGTATTGTCATATATATGAGTCGTTTGTAATTGATTGAAGGCTTAGAGCATTTGTCTAGAGTAAGTGCTGCAGTTGTTCTAGTCGTTTCAGTCTGGTATGGGGGTGATAAACCGAAAAGTTACAAAAAGTCGAGGCCCGGGGGGCGCTATCGCAAATTTGACATCATTTTCATAAAAAGCACCCCCTAAAACACACTAGTTGACCCTGATATCGATTTAAACCGAAAGGTGACAAAAAAAAATTACAATATATAAAATAATAACATATTTTTTTTTTAAAATTACTCATGGCGTTAAAATTTTTCATGAGTGATTTACTCATGGAGATAACATTTTTCATGTGTGATTTACTCATGGAGGAAAAATGTTTCATGAGTAATTTTCAAATTTACTCATGTTGAAAATTCTAAGAGTAACGTCTTGTAACGTCAACACTGGACATTTACTCAAGTAATTGCCCAACAATGATATATATACATTTTAATTTTTTTTTCCTGATAAGGAGCCTCCCACATTAGACACCAGCCAAGGGCCTGAAATGGAGCCAGACTTTACCTAGTAAGGCATAAGTGATTTGAGCTGCTACAACAGATTTGTAGAGAATAAGTTTGATTTTAGTACTTAATTTTAATGTTTTGTTAAAATATGGGCACACTTAATAGATGCTTTTTTTTGTTTTCTATCTATGTTATTATCTTTACATTTCATGTGAAAGTGAGAGATTTGTCCAGAGTTAAATCAAAGTATTTTATGGATTTAGAAAAGGGAATGTGGACTGAATTAAAGCAAATTTGATGATTATATACATGGTTGACGCACAATGAAGATTATGACTTCAGATTTACTAGAATTTATTTTTGATTTCCAGTCAAGGCAATACTTGTTAGTTTTTTTAAAAAAATCGTAAACGGTTAGCTATAGTGTCTATTCTATAAAAAAAAAGTGAACAAAGCTGGTCGTCTGCTTATAAGGATCTCATTGATTATAGATCACTTGTTATATCCCACAGACTTTATAATCAAAACCTTCAACAAACATAAACATAAATATACTGGCATGCTTTTAGTAGACTTATAAAAAGTGTTCAACACTATTTAAACCATTCTATAACTCTAACGTCCTCCAATTAATTATCTTCACATTACAGATAATAAAAAAAAATTATTACATTATAAAAAAATTATGATAAATAAAATTAAATTAAAAACCAAATTCAATTACCACTTCTTCTGTATGAGGTGGATTTGGAGGCGGAGTAATTGGAGGCCCCCAAACATCTGAGCCCCAAACAGGTGGTGGTGTATCAACAGCAGATGATGGAGTATAAAGAGGTTCCCATAAAGAAGTTATAACAGGCCAACTTAATTCTATAAAGGAAAAAAATAACTTTGTAATAATAAAACAAGTTTTAATTAATTACATTATCATATTTGAAACAAGAACTTATCACAAAGCATGTCTACTCATAGCTCTATATTAACTACCTGAACTTCAGCCAAAAGATATAAAATTTGCATCACCCAGTAAAAAATTTTATTTTCCATAAAATGAACAAAAACTCAAGTTTAAAAAAAAATGCTATTTAACAAAAAATTAATGTAATTTATTGAATAACAAAGAACCTAAAGAAAAAACACATCAAATCTGTGAAAGGAATAAAAAAATATAGAAATATATTTTCTTTGTAAAATAAAAAATTAGTTTTTATACAAAAAACTACAACGTATGTTAAATATGTGAAAATATCATATTTTTTATTCACAATTTCTCTGTTTAGTACTTTGTGGGACCATTTCTAGCGTTTATTCCTGAAGTAATTCTGGATGACATCGATTAAATCAAATTTTTTATGATTTCATCACTGATCTCATGATACAGTGAGCAGTACTGAAGATAGGATGAGACCGGAGGGCCCTTGTGTGATAAATACAAAGTGAAATTTTAAACATAATAAATCATATAATTGAATTGCTTGGATGTAAATCCAACACATTAGTTGATAAAAATTGAATTACATATACAAGAAAAGAAAAACTATGCAAGAATATCAAGTGGTAAGCACTGATCTTCCAATGCTCAAGGTCCCAAGTTCGTATCTCGACAACCCTGGGGCCAGGAGACTCTACTGAGGTACACTCAGCCACTATAAAGAAAAAAACCTGGAGGTTGAGTGTGATCTCAAATCACCTCCTTGCACAACTGTTGACTAAGAAACAGTACTTTCCCGTTTTACTCAATATATATAAGTACTCACGAATTTGGTTCTGTGGCGTGGAGTAGAATCATCTTCAAAAATATAGTCTTGACACTGCAACAGGTGATTCCTCATTCAGAGAACCACACTTTCTTTTAAATTTTGTTTGGCATTAATAGTAAAATCTATCCTGAAACGATGGGTCAGGCACTTTAAATCCCTATTGAATAAAAGAGCAGAGGAGATAGATGAGAGGTGGAGTACCTTTGATGATGATGGAAATACTGAATCCCAAGACTTAAAGGAAATAACATAAGCAATCTTGAGTATGAAAAACAACAAAGCCTTAGGACTAGATGGATTTCCAGAAAAATTCTTGAAGTAAGGAGATGAACTGTCAAGTTGGATAGAAGAAGGAACACCAAGACAATGAAGCAGTGCAGTCAAAGAGTGGTTACCAAACTTTTAGAGTAAAATTCCCTGACTTTTCTCTATTTAATGAAAGTTTGCCCTGACCAATATGTCAGGGGACACAAATGTTAAAAATGTATAGTTTATAACTATACATATGTAGTTTATAACTAAATAGTTTATATGTAGTTTGTAACTGTTTAATTTATCATACATGATTGAAAATTAAAAGATTAGAGTAAAAAAAAAGTCTGTTCAGTCTTTTAAATAACAAATATAAAGTTATTGAGGAAGCACTTTTTAAACTTAATTAAGATCAAAAATTTATTTTTTTCTGTTGAGTTTTTGAGTTGAGTTGAGCTTTTCCGATTGAGGGTATTGAATGTGAACTCAAGTCATTTAGTCGACCAGATGAATGCACTAAAAGCTTTATTAATTTTTACTTTACCTTGGTAATGTTTTTTCTGTTTAAAAGTTATTTGAGTACATATGAAATATTACTGTTGTACTTCTTTAATCTTCTAGTAAAATAATTATAGATCAAATAAAATAATATTTTATATATATATATATATATATATATATATATATATATATATATATTATATATATATATATATATATATATATATATATAATTAAAGCATACCACGAAGGCAAAACTAATCATAGATGAGTCCCCGAAACTCTCGCGGCACTAAAATGCTGATATTATTGGCATCGCATGCGTAGGATGATCCGCGAAAACCTTCGGTTAGTAAAACATAAAATATAAAGTTAGCATAATATAAGATATGGTTGTGAGTTTTAAGATATATTGACATATTATCGATTATAATAATTATTATTATTTTGATAAACTTAACCTGCAATAAAGTGATAAAATCTCATTGTTTAATACTGATTTTCTATTTCTTATATTACTAATCATAACCAAGGAAATTGCTTCAACAACACTTAAGCAGTTGATTGGTGCAAAATTTGAAACTGTGAGTACCAATTTCATACAAACTATTGCATAAGTAAGGGGGAATCAGAGCAGATGAAGAAGTTAGAGCATCAGTTGGCTCAGGCGGGCTCGGAACAATCGAAGTTAGAAGCTCAATTATCTATTGTGGCAGAGACCATGCAATTAGAACGCAAAATTTTACATTCATACATGAAATAATTGGCCAGTTGGAACCATTTACTGGAATAGTAGGGGACCTTGAACATTTTATTAAGGGAGCAGACCAAATAAAGCCTTGATAGTATCCAGGCATGAAGCTGGCACATTAACAGAGTCTGATGTAAAATTACTTGAAGCATCCTTAGTCGGGCATATCTCGATATGTGTGCTAAACGCCATCCAAGGCGATCTAACATTTTCTTGGGACTTCTTGAAAGTGAGACTAAAGAAACTATACGGTGGAGAAAGATGGACCCCAGAAGAAGATGTGTTTTATATATTTAAGGAGTGATGGAACCAGGGCCAATCAGAAGATGTTTTAGCAGAAAAGCTCCTAATTCAATACAATAAATTGAGAGAGAAAATGGTAGAAACCTACAGCCAAGCGGAGGGAGCACAGAAATTAGAATTCTTGAAAGGAATTTTGAAGGAACAACTGAATCACTATGTGGATCATACCGGTTCACAGCCAAGAAACGCGATTCGAAAAACAGGACACAGATAGGATAGAAGAGAAATCACCGAGGAGGAAATACAGAAGTCCGCCCAGGGAGGTCAATAAAAACAGAAAATTTGATAGATGGCCGAGTAGGTTCCCTGATGAGAAATGGCGTAAAGCAGAAGAACATTGTTATGAATGCAACCAGACTGGTCATACAGCAGCCCGGTGCAAACTGACGAGATGTTTCGAATGCGGCAGGCGAGGGCATCTAGCCAGGGAATGTCCAAAGCGAAAATCTTGAGGATCGTCAGAGGAGAGTTGCTGTTCCGAGCGCAGTGGCCAGGCTACGAAAAAAACTGAGGTAAGTAGAGGGAATTCTTGGAGGGAGAATCCTTCTGGGGCGAAAGTAGTAGTGAGACAACCACATACTGATTGAGGGTACAGCAATAGGACCAAGGGAGTAATTTGAGAATTAATAATAGCGTTAGAGCTAAACAACGGACTAGGTTGCCTGTGGCGAGATTAGAGAAATCCGGGATAAAATTTTTGATTGATACAGGGAGTACAAATTCGTTATTTAGCAAGAGGAGGGCGGAGAAATCGGGTATTTGGATCGGGCGTAAACAGTGCAAATGTATAGTATCCACAGTTAGCGGCAGATGTCAAACCTTAGGCGAATCCTCTTTGTGTCTTAGAGAGTTAACAAAGTGGGATTTGCATATAAAAATCCACATTATTGAGCAGTTAATGCCTAATTAGTGGTTGTGATATTCTACAGTGAGTGGGTTTAAAGATGAGAGTTAACCATCAGTCTGGCCCTAGCCTTCAAACAGATAGCATCCGTGTTCTTTTTAATCGTGTTTAATTTCAAGTGGTACTATTACAGTTCAGTTCACTGTCACTAAAATATTTAAAGTGCTGTTAATGTTAATTGCGTTGGCGATTAATATTACCTATTGAACTAAATCATCAATACCTAATAAACATTTTTTTTTTTTTTGGGTCCTCCCCTTCCTCGCCGTTAAGGATATACGGGGTTTTCCCGGGCCAGGGGATGTAGGTGGGGATTTAAAAGACTTCCTCGGCACCGGGACGCGAACTCGTAACTATTTTTATATCATTAGATTCATATGTCAGGTTGCTGGGCAACGGCGGTGCTGTGCACACGCTTTAGCCCATTCTGCCACCCCCACCCAATACCTAATAAACAATATAAGGTAAGAAAACAATTTAAAATTGTTGTGATATAGCCAAGCGTAAGATAAGGCGCTTAACCCCACTACAGCTACCTCTCCCCACCACCTCTACTGGTATCTACTCTATTATTATTATCCGGTTAATCAATTGCTCACGATGACTCTAGGTCCTAAATGCAATAATACCATTGCCAGAGAGGATAAACTACATTTGTTTGCACAATGTGCAAATTAATATATCACAGAAAATGTATTAACGTCTTTGAAGCCGACGTATCGCAGCAACTAAAAAAAAAATTGGTTTTGTACATCATGTACAAAACCTCTATTTTGGCTGAGGTTAAAAAGATCGCCGGGGATATAAAGGAAGTTAAAGTCTTGCTCGGAAAGCAAAGCGATCTTGCCTCTGAAAATAATGAGAGACTTAAAAAAATAGAAGAGATGCCATTGAAGCAAGAGAAAATAATAGAAAATTTACTCAGTGAGAATAAACAGTTAAAATCTCAAATTAGTACCCTGGAGGTGAGACTTAACCAAACTGAACAAGCTCAACTATCCAACTCCCTAGAAATACGAGGTATCACACGCGATGCTGGAGAATCTACCGAGGGCTTGGTGTGCTCTATCGGTGCAGCTCTGGGCATAAAGCTGGGTATTGAAGACCTGGATTTTGTAGAGAGGAAAAGGACCAGAAGAGAGGTTCCTAGGCCACCGCCAATCATTGTGCGGTTCGTCCGCCAGACGGCGGGTGACGAAGTCATCCGCTTGCGCAAGGTCAAAAGGGACTTTCCCACGCGGCATCTGGGTCGGAACAGCGACGAGAGGATTCATCTGGGCGAAGAAATAAGTCCAGGTAATAAATATTTATACTGGTTGGCAAGGCAGAAAAGGGGCGTCGGGTATGCTAAGATACGTATGGTTCGCTGGAGGAAAGGTACGATACAGAAGACAGAATGGATCCCCGGTCATCATCGTCAACAAAAAGGAAGACATTGAATTTCTGGAATAAAATAGGTCTCACTGTTCCCTCCAACCTCTTTTTTATGAATATCTTTTATTTTCATTTTCTTTTTTAAATCTGTTATTGTTCTTTTTTGTTTCTATAGTTCATAATAATTTATTCTATTGCTTATTAAGTATTTTTTTGAAAGATGAAATTTTCTTATTTTACTTCAAATCAGATTTTAATTTTTTCTGTGCTTCCCTTCATTAAAAGATTTCAAGTAAGATCTATATCAATATTATGTACATAATTTGTGATTATATCTCATTAAGTAAGTTTAAAAATGTGCCTACTCCATCAATATTAACACCATTTTGTCACACTCCGTAGATTGTCCTTACCCTGACCTCTTTATGACCAATACCTTAATATCCTGTCACGTTAACTCCCAATCCCTTCTAGCACATTATGACGAATTCCTCGATTATTTTCACCATAACTTCCATCATACCATAGCCGTTTCTGAAACTTGGCTCAAACCTGATATACCCTCTCTATCAATGTGTGATCTCAACACCAACCTCCTTTCAAATACTCCGGACAGAACATATCTTACCGACCTAGTTTTTTCCTTAGATCTATTTATTGTACCCTTTCAACCCACCTCCATCACACCCAATCCACTGATACTTGGCTAGATTTATTTATTATTGATTCCCCCCATAACCTATTATCCTTTACGCAAATTCCAGTTCCTTTCATCCCACGATCTTATTGAAATAACATACAACTTCTCTACTCCTTCACCTAAACCCAAACAAATTTCCTGGAGAGATCTAGATTCCTTAACCACTGAAAACATCAGCCCCTTCCTTGATTCCCTTTTCACTTGCTTAGAACCCATCTATTCTCTCCCCTCCATCGATGATATGGTTGAATGCCTTTCCTCTAACCTCCTCGATTTCCTCATCCAGGAGGTTGAGTTGCCAGAATGAATAAAAAAAGCTTCCCAAAAATTAGGAAACATCAAAAATATGTGAGGAGCTAAAACATTTATACCGGCTGATAGACGTATAGGTACTAACATGAATAGTTTCCAGCAAAGGCCTAATTCTTTACCTTGAAGGTCATAGAACTTAATAAGTAAGTTTTTTTTAATATTGGAAAAACTACTATGATCTGAATAAGTTAATTTATCCACCATTAAGAAGTGTGAAGAAGAAAGAGAAGGTAAAAATAATTATAATCAAATTTAAAAAAGGATATCTTTTAAATATCTTATTTTTTTAGATGACAGTTCTAAAGATTTAAATCCTGTAAATAGTAAAACTGCAATGAGAAGATTCAAAATAATTGGAATAAAAGAATGAAAAAAAAATTACCATTTCTTATACCATCTTGTATAGATTGTTTCCTCTCAATTTCTTGTTGCCCGTGTAAAACCTTTAATAAACTTTGATCTGTCCATATGGGTTCATATGCTACCTGGAAGATAAATATTTCATCCTACATATACAAAACTACTTATTTATTAACTTCTATAGAAATATTTCTCGTATAAATATTTTTTATGTTATACATTCAATATTGAAAAACATATTTATATTTAACAAAAATTGAGTTGAACATAGAGAATCTTTGCAAAATTAAGTTCAAAATTATATTTAAAAGTCACTATTTGTAAAAATATTCAATTCTCAAAGAAATGGTTCAGTTATTATTATCAAATTATTTTACCATATGGTTCATTAAATTTTGAACTTGTTTTAAAAAAACAAAGAAATGCAATAAATAGTGTTCAAATAAATAGCTTGTTGGTTTTGTTTAAAGACTTAAAATCCTTAGGTCATAAATGTCTTATTATAAATAACTAATTACACCATACCTGGGAAGAAGAATCTGTAAAAAGACTATTAGCAGAGGAATGAACATTTGATTGAGCTGATACTGATTCTGAAATAGAAGACCAATTTCCCCAAATGCTATTAAAAGGAGCTTTTGATTCAACAGGAGCTAAAACAAATATTTATTTATCAGATAATGAAATCAAACACAATTAGGCAAGAAATGGTTACATTAATTTATGAAAAAATGTTTAAAGTAATCAAATTAATTTATAAAAGAGTAAGTAAAAATGATTTCAAATGTTTGGTTGTCTATTCTAGATTTTATTTTTGATTTTTATTCCGTAGCTTTTTATCTTCCTAAGCCAGGCTTATTACATTTTCAAACCTCAATAAGCATTATAAATTGACTATTTACAGTAGAGCTGCCAAAAAAAATTGACATGTGAAATGGGAGAGATAGCCATCTCATTTTAAAACCTTTAATGTCCACTTTTCTTCTTTCAATTGTGGAGTGAAAAAAAAAATGATAGGTAAAATAACTATAAGCAGTGGTTGAAATTTTTATGGAACTTTTTAAAAAAGTTAAAATTAGAAAAAAACAAAGAAATAATTATTATTCTTGTAGTACTTTCTAATGTTTAAAAGTGAATAAACATAAATTTATTAAATAAGGTATAGCATCCCTACATCCCTAAAATTCAATGTTGTTCAGGTCTTTATTTAATTAGGTAATTAGTTAAATAATTAATTAAGTTATTTAATTAGGTCTCCTGAATCAAATATTACACTATTTACAGAAATATTTTCTTCCACAATAAAACAAACTTTGTAAAAGATAAGTAACTGCTTTAAATGATTGTTTTCATTGACTAAATGTACTTGTAGTCTCTGATCTCTTCAGGATAAGAACATTAACTGTTTATTCTAAGGTGTGAGAAGTTGTTATAGGGTGAACGCTCCAGTTATGGACAGGCTGGACTTCAAATGTAAATAATAAGCTTCCATGTTGATTTAAATGTTCCAATTTTTTCTAGATTGAAGAACAATGGTCTCTATTGACAATTGTATGAACAAAGTTCTCTAAAGAAAATTTTAAGATGCCTATAATTGTTATTCTATAGTGTTCTTGAAATCAGTGTGTTTTATAACTTCCTACTAACAGTTTTGCTAAGAGTAAGTTGAAAGTTTATGTTATCTTATCTTTATAGTCAGAGGTATGTTACTGATACCAACCCCCATTCCATTACTAGAACAATTGAATTTTGGTGTGTCCATCACTAGTGCAAATAGGTGTTTTTTTTTAATGGAGACTATACCTGCATAACTGAATATTAGTTTCAATTTCTACTTCTTCTTCTTTGTCTTTCTCCTTAGTGCCTTTCAGCATGGAGGAGCCTCCACCCATTTACGCATGTCATCACGGTCTCTTGCGAGGTCTCTTATATAACCCAACTGCTTGCCTCTTTTCTATCCGAGCTTGGTTATTTCGTCAATCCAAGTTTTCCGTGGACGTCCTCTTGGCCTCTTTTCTGTGGGTCTTCCCTCAAGAAATTTTCTGGGTCTCTGTCTTCGTCCATCCTCATAACATGACCGAACCATTTGATCGATTTCTTTTCCATGGTTTCCAGCATTGGTGGCACCTTAACACTTTCTCTAATCCGTTCGTCTCGGATGCAATCTCTTCTAGTTCGGCCAGCTACTCTTCTCAGATATTTCATTTCGGCAGTGGTAAGTCTACTTGTGTGCCTATTTAGAATGACCCGTACTCTCACTACCGTACAGTAGGTTTTGAAGGTCGAGTGTATTGTATATATGGATCCTAGTTATATTTTCCACCTCTCCTTTTCCTAAGACGGTGTTGCAGATCTGATAATAGATGTCATTTGCTTTTTGATCCTGTTTGATATCTCTTGGTATATTTTTCCATTTCTACCAACAACTGTCCCTAGGTATGTATATTCCTCTACCAACTCCAGATTCTTACCCCTACAGTTTATTTGTATGTCTTCGATTTCTTGACCTATCTGCATAATCTTACTTTTTTCTTCATTTATGATCATATCTTTTCTCTCAAGTTCAGCCTCCCATTCTACAATTGCTTGCTATAATTTTGCAGATGAGTCTGTAATAAGGACGATATCATCTGTGTAAACGAAAGCTTGGGCTAGAATTGTTCTCATGTTCCATTTTCCTATAATTGTTCTTCCAGTCCTACATTTACAGATTGAACAATTGAACAATTCAATTGAGAATTGAAACAAAATCGGTAATGCGAACAGCGAAAGGAAAAAGTTGGAAAGAATTTGACCAAAGTCTTCAGAAAGACTATAAAGAAAATACCAGATCTTTCTGGAAAAAAATCAAAGCAATAAAATGCAAACCCTATGCATAATATAAAAGACATATTCGGCTAAATCTTATCTAATGATGCAGATATTCTTGAAAGATGGAGGCAGCACTATTCCCAGGTCTTTGAAGGAACTAGAAGAGTGGGAGAGGAAGAAGAAGATGCCGAGCGACACCTTGAACATTATGGGATTGTGTGGGAAGAAGAAGTGGAAGCAGCTGTGGAAAGACTCAAGACAGGAAAAGCACCAGGGAGAGATGGCATTGCTCCTGAATTCATAAAATATGGAGGGAAAAGTATAATTGGGGTACTTCAAGCTCTATTTCAAAACGTTGACAAAGAGAAAAGGATACCCTAGGATTGGGAATATAATATAATTATACCGATAGTCAAGAAAGGGAGTTAGAATGAATGCCAAAACTACAGGCCTATCTGTTTGTCTCAGGTTGTATACAAACTGTATACATCGATTCTTGAGAGAAGATTGAGGGGCTTGGTGGAAAATCA